GCAGGCTCCCAAAGCAGCAGCAGCAAAGAGCACAGCCAAGAAGGTCATGAAAACTCCGGGTCGGGGAAAGAAACCTGGCCGATCTGTTCGTGCCAAATCCTGAACAGTAGAAGCCTCTTACTCTCGATGGTACTTTTCTTTTCTGGTAGGTCTTGAATGAGTTTTCAACCATAATGGCAACTGCCAATGATTGCTGAGGGGGTTCCAGAATCCTGAGGTGGCTTTGTTGTATTGAACCAATTTGATTTCTCATTGCTTGGCAGATTTTTTCAACACAAATGTTGACTTGGCAACGCCACCCGGGTGGAACACAATCCATTGGGGAAAGCAAAGTTGGTTCAATGGCTATTTTGGTGATCTGCTACCCAAAAAGGGCCTACGGATCTGATGGCGAGAGCAAAGTGACCGGAGCTGGGAAAATTGGTGTGTTATCCTTTGGAATACATCAATGGTTACTAATATTTACTCATGGGGATTTTCAAAACAAGGTGGCCTTTTCCCCCTTAATACAAACTCATTTTGAGACATCCAAATTAATCATGGTACTGGGGAAAACCTCACTCACAGTATCATTTCCTGAAAGTATCACATTTGACACACTGCAACGTTTCATTAGTGTGGTTTACTTTGACTATGGTCTTCATCCATGCAGAATTTTCCATGCCTCAAGTTAGGACATGTTGCTATGTCCAATTTCGATTTGCCCCCAGTTGATGATGGCATTTCTTTGGGTGACCTTTTTCAAAATGGAAACAGAAAGCGGAAACTTGTGAAACCTGTGAAGGGTGTTAAGAGTAAAAAAGAAGATGTGACAGTGCCGCTTTCTGGGATGGCACCTTCATCGAGCTCATCAAGAAAGATTGGGCCCACCACAGCTTCAGATCTACCTCCTGATGATGATGGAGAGATTGACTTCTTCCACAGTGGTACTTTGAGTGCACCTCATGTTCTGCCGAAGGCCAAGCTGGCTCCGAAGGGCAAGGCTGCCCCGATTTCACGGAAATTTGCTCAGGCCAGGAAAAAGCATGTGGTTCTCCCTAAGGACCATAGGGATGAGCCGACAGAAGATGAGCTCAGGGAGTGGAGTCATGCTTCGCTAAAGCATGCTGCAGCATTGATTCCATCGGTGGTTGATATGCCCTACACAGACATGTGCTCCATGTTGGAAAGAGTGCCGTCCAACTACGTTGATCGCTGCACCCTGTGGGAAATCTTTTCGGTCCCACGGTTGGCTCCGTGCATTCGGGCGCTTGGTGGCACCTGCCGCCGAAGTTACGACATACAGCACTTCTTCAATTTGGGGAATGAAGGGTTTCAACGTACCTTGCTTCAGGACATCTCCACCTTTAGACCGTTTTACTTGAGCCTCTCACCTCCATGCACCTACCTATGCAAGCTCATGGCTTCGAACTGGTCTCGCATGCGAGGACAGCAAAAATTCCTGAACCTTGAGGATGGTTTGGGCTACATTGACCTTTGCTCTTGGCTGATGGCTTATCAAGTCAAACATGGTTTATACTTTGGGCTGGAACATCTACATGGCTCACTAGCGTGGAGCAGGGCTTCGGTTACTACATCTTATGTTTTTTTGAATTTGTTCCTTTGTAAACCACGTAAACCACTTTGTTGATTTCGAGCCCCTCTTGAAAAATATAGAGTTAGCTTTAACTTCCTCACCAGCCCTCCTGGCAAGGTTCAACGTGTGATGCAGCTGGACGAGTCCATCAAGCTCATCAGTTTTGATCAATGTATGTATGGTCTTGTTTCTAAGGAAACAAAGACACCGATGCAGAAGCGGACCTGCATGCTGACAAATGTCCCTGAAATCATAGCTGCCATGGATGGCAACTATTGTGACAAATCCCACCAACATCAAAAAATTGAGGGCACTGAAGGGAATGAAAAAAGATCCCACTTTGCCCAACATTATCCACAGCGAATGGTGGAGACTTTGTGCAAAGCTGTCTTTAGTTGCGAGAAGCGATGCCAAGGGCAGTGATCATGACTTCAGGGGATGAGTGGAAGAAACAACGCTTTTTTGATTCTCATCCGGGGTGCTGGACACTGCTTAGTTTTTACCCCAAAAGAATAAGTTTATTTTCAAGAAGTAGATTGGGGTGTTTCTCGGTTCGTGATTCCAGGAATCTTTTCATATTAGTGGGATGGGATGGCGGTTGTCTGGGCCAAGGGTATCCGTGAGCTTCCAGGGTCCTAAGGGGTTCCAACGCATGAAAGCTTACCCATTTGAATGCTCCATTTTCACCTTTTGGTTAAATACATAATTTCATATTCATAAACGGTCCCCTTCGCTACTTGACAAAAATTCAGTGAGAAAAAAGTAATGGTCAAGATTATACCCCAACCACAAAGTAATCGAACAAAGTAGTTACACATCTAGACTATAAGTGCCATTTCCCGATGCTGTTTGACAATAATACAAATTTGGTATTGATATTTTGATGAGTTATAAAATGGTTTGATCACCCAAACATTAAAGCAACAATGCTCGTGCACTATTTCTGAACCAATGGAACAAAATTGAAATTGTGCATCTTCTTTGATTTGGTTCCCCAGGGTCCATGAACCTTGGTTCCACCCACTGGGTTCACCTACTGCCTTTTGTAGGTGCAGATGATGAATGGGCAAGGAAGAGCTTGCCTCAGATTTGCTGGGGGGAGACGTTGGGCTTTAACGATTGCCACCATCAATTGGTTTCTTCTAAGTTGAAAGGGGAATTGGGGCAAATGTCCTTAGTTCTTTCCCTAAAATTAAGGCGGTGTTACAAAAAAATGAATCAGGCAACCTTTAATTCCTCATGGGATTTACAACCCACTAATTCAACTTGAAATGCAAATCAAATATTTAAGGGTGCATTTTATCCTCATTAAATTATTGCCTGGGTTTATTCCTCAATTTTTGGCAATGACCGAATACATAGTGAATGGTTTGTCCCCATCAGTTTTAAACTACCAATGTTTGAGCACTTCATTTTTGTGGAATGACTGATTTTTCCAGATCTCAACCATCAAATTGTAAAGAAGTTTCTCTTGAATGATGGTTTCAAGCTTTTTTGGTATTTCACAAACATCCCAGGGTAAAAAGAAGGTATGGAGACCCCATTAATGTTGGAACCACCATTCAATTCAAATGTCAAAATTCCGTTTTATATCCTGTAACAACAAATCGTTCTAAAATAATATGTCCATGTGTCCTCATTACATGCAAGAAAGTAGCTTCCAGGGATTATCTTGGTTGGTATTATACGAGGGCATGGTTGCATACCTTTTTGGGGGACGATACATGTAACAACATGTTTTAAAACAATCCCCTAATCCACCACTGCATTTATTTATTGCCTGCTTTGCTCAGGCTTGGGGCCTGGTGGAGATGCTGGCTCACCCAGTGGTTATGGGTGGTTGGTAGTCACGTCGGGTGGGAACCCAAACGAAATCTAAATATTAATGTTGATATTATTTCTGGGTTGGCTTAAGATTGGTTTTGGGGTCATGGGTATATATTATCCTTCCATTGTCGGACCAATGGCAAGGAAATAATGCATTTATGTCAATTTGGGTCCTCGAAGCACAACCCCCAACAAAAAAACTTGTTATGCGTTGCGATGGATACGGGATCCTCCAAACCAAAAGATCGGCAAAAAAAAAAAAAAAACCTAAATCTCAAAATCAAGGACCCCGAATCTTTTGCGGCAAAAATCATTGTAGAATATAATAGTAGTGCTGTTTCCCAAGTCCACATGCCAATTTCTGCACCCTGAGATCGGCAAAAAAAAAAAAAAATCCTAAATCCCAGGGTACAACCTCTGTATTGCCCAAGTCTAGGTGCAGATTTTTGCGACCTTACTTAGGCAATACCCCACCAAGCACCTAGGATATCGTCAAAAAAAAAAAATCCTAACTCAGGGTGCTGATATCTGCGCCCTGACTTCGGCAAATTTGCTGTTGGACATTGCATGTAAAGGATTTTGGGTTCCACCATCCGTCCTCTCACCCTTGCCTGTCGGGCTCTCGGTGCGATGGAGACCATGGACACACAGGCATGGCTTGACTCAGATGAGGATTGGGTTGGGGCCGGGGCCAAAACTTCAGGTAGAAGATTAGCATTCTTATGGGGATGTTTTCAACTATTTCGGTTTTCCACAAATCCCACAAGTACTACTTTGACATGGCTTTAAACCATCGAATTTATCAGGAATAATATATAAATTAGATGGGGGTGTCTAAAGATATGGGTGCCCCAAACCCTTTTGGATCATATGTCCATCAAGAAGCATTTTTTGGATCATGTCCATCATTCAAAGAGACATGTTTTGGGCATCATTCCCTGGGATCCCTAACATCTCTTAATCAATCATTTAGATATATAAGTCCTAAGACCATTCACAGCAAACATCCCTCTAAACATCTATGTATCTCTCATCATGGGCATACCCGATTTCCTAATGGAGATCTGGAGGTGACATGCGTATTGAATCTTTCTGGCCATGGATATGTGCAAAAAAGGGGAATAATTAATGAGTAGTTCCTAAAAAGGAAACCCCTACCTCTAAATGAAAGATGATCGTTCGAATTGTTTTTTCTGGGTGAAAGGTCTTTGAAAAGAAAGAGCGGGCCCCAGGAGATGCAGAGCGATCATGGCGCAAGTGGCACTGCCCGGGATCTATTTCCAAGTGATTGCTCTGACCAGATGTCCATCACCACCATTCAGTCCGAAGTTGTTTTAAGCAACAAGGAAAAGCTCTTCGATCTAGCTTTCAAGGAGTTCAAGAGTTTTTTGGTATTAATTCAGGATATGAACTAAACCCCTTTTCCCCTTGAAGTATTGTATCACAATGGATATTGAGGATAAGAACTACTGGTCTTTCCCCTTTATAAGATTTAAACATGGGTTGGGTGTGATTATTCTAGTTTGGAAGTTTCCCCAAAACCATCTATCTCTAGGTCATGGGGGTGTCCGGCAATATCTGCATCGTATGTTTCCAGATGTGGGTGCACGAGCTGAAGATTTGGCAAAGGTGCTGCAGAATGCAATCCCCAAGTCACAGGATGTGGACTGTTGAAAACTATCCCTTGCCTTCTTGCTTTCCAGGACCCTTTAGAATATCCAAATCATCGAAATGATAATGGTTTTATTTAGGTGTTCCAAAAAATCTTGGTGTTGAACAATAAATGCCAAGCCCATCCAATGCAACCGTGTGGCGGTGTTGGATCCAGGACAGCAGGAGTCGCATCCCGCCTTCGTGGTTCCACTGTGGCTTTTTAGCGTTCAGAATGAATCAAGCCTAAGGGAGCCGACGGCATTGGACATCTCAGGAAAGCTTCTTCAGCAGTATGCCACTGACGGGTTTGTGACACAAGGTGAACCAGTGATGCTACGGGTTCAGGTGGGATACTAGTCCTGGACCAAGTGGTAACTATTGGTAACTATGATACCCCCAATGGAATGGTAATAATGGGATAAAACACCTATCAAAAAATCAGCACAAGATTGTCAATTCATGTATCTCTTTTTTGGTGATTTCTTGGCAGGCGCCCCATATCAAAAAAAAATCTGGTGGCCCAAGTTTCCAAATGACTATGAGACGCTTATTCATCATGTTCCCCCGTTCAGGATGATGCAGTGGTTCTTTCCAAGACAGCAGTTCCACCCGGATCTTTGTGGTTCTTGAAAGGGGCTGCAAGGGTGCACACGGTTATGGCCTTGGTGGTCTACTTGGTCAAGCACACAAACTGCACTCTTCAGGTTAGGGGGGTTGGACAAAAAGTTTTCTTGGCAAACAGCCATGTGGTTAATGTTGGCTCCATGCATTAGATGTGGGCCCTGAAAAGAATATTGTCGAGGTTACTGACCCCTTGCTTTACAAGACCTTGTCTGCGATCCAGTGCAAGCACATGCGTTTGCAAAACAAGCAAGCGGAGCTGTACCCAGCCTAATTAATGTTCATGAAATAGTTGCTTTTACAATCCCAAAATAAATGATACCCCCCAGAAGGGAGTCAAAAATCTTTACCACAAAATGGAGTACAAAGTAGAAGTACCACTGGTCGTTAATGCCACCTCAAATTATATTGAAATCTCTCAAAATAGGGGATCCCGATTTTCTTGCGAATGAGAAAGAATAAATTTGGGGATCCCCCAATGAAGTCAAGAGTATTATTGGCCTGTTTGTTTTCTGTCTTTACCACGCACAACATGGAGTTAAGGTTTTTCAACATGAAGGAATCGGTCAGAGGCGGTATCCGGCAGAAACCAAGTGCTCTTTCGTTTGTATACAGCTTCATCAATCTAGCGTCATGGACCCATAGTGACCCAGCGAGCATGATTCGAGCTTGGTGCCTTGTCAATTTGTTACATTCAAGTGAGTTTTGTTTTTACAATCCCATGGTTTATATGCATACTTTGCACGAGGGCCCAAACCATGTCACTACTAAATTTTGTTTGGTGTTGTTTGTTTCTGGAGGATAACGGTTTATCCGAAAATGGTGTACAACTGTAAAACCCTCAAATAGCAGTTGAATGGGATAATGATACTAATTGTAATTCATTGGAATTAGGGGCACCCTCTTTCAGCACATATTTGATGCATGTTTTGAATGGGGACCCCAACCAGGAATGATGAAGCTTCACGGGACGATCGGCTGGCTGGTGCCAAGAAAAATTCGGTGACATCCATCTTGGATCTTCCCAATCAATGTCGTGAAGTCTTACTGGCAACAGTGAGTGAGTTTGGCTTTGATGGTTCCTAGCAATGCTTTGTCATCTTGTTGATACTGTGTTTGTTGTGTTTGTTTCACGGAATGGTTGGGGATTCGCTTTGGGTTATTTGGGGATGTCTCAAAATGCCGCGCCTTTTTATTCTTAGAGCTCACATTTTTAGGGCCAAAAAGGGCACCTCATTTTGAAAGAGATACCTGTTTTGGGTTTCGAAAAAAGTTGCTAACAGTTTTATTATGAAATTTGCTGTTCCTCAATGAGGTTCCCCCTACACTGATGACAATCTCGGCAGCAAGAAGTACCTCCCCGGGTATTCCTTCAAAGGGCGCGCAGTGCCCCGCAAGTCCTCATGGGTGGAACGAGGCAAAGTTACCAAGGACAGTTGCCTGGCTATGTTTACCATGATCCACAGCCAGCACTGCAAGAATCCAGACCGCAAGTTGCTGAAGGCCAATCTGGAGGAGAAAGCTGAGATTTGCGCGTTGGCTTGTCCCTTGGGTTCAATGTTCAATGTTTTGGGGCAGTGTAAACTCATGATGTATTTAAGGCCTATACCAATGGTTTCAGGGCATTGTTTTCTATGACCTGTGCAGTCATCAGGTGCTTTGATCCAGGAGGTTGCGGCGGAAGTCCCAAACTCTGAGAAAGAACTTCGGGACCGGTTCTTCGCCCTGTGAATTAACAAGTCTGCTCCTTCCTCAGTATTATAATAGCTGCTAGTTCTTTCGTTTTCAAGTACCTTTTGATTTGGTGGATTCAAACTGCACAAAGCAGAACAAGGTATTTGTCCAAACTTCATGCTGGGGATGCGATTGTGGAAACCGAGCTGCGGAGTGCTCTGATGACAAAAAGTGAAAAGTATGTTGCCCGAGACAACACAAGTAGCTTGGACAAATCAAATTTTGATTTAAGATACGATAGTTCAATAGCTAGCTTACCGTCTTATTTCTTCTCCATCTGAATATACAATATGATTAAAGGTATTGCGAGCATCCTGAATGACATGGGTGGCAAAAGTGGCCCAGACGGTACTTCCATAGAATTGCAATCGGCAGTGGAAATTGGAGAGCAAAAGGTTGCCCATCAGGCCTACCAGTTGTTGATGACGGAGTTGGACTTTGATGTGAAGAGTTGGCGAGTTCACCAGCGAAAACTGAAGGAATATGACGTACGACTCTATCACCAGAAGGATCGGTGGCAAATCGATAGGCACCAGGCAGCCAAAGCAGGAGCGGCGAAGATTCTGGACAAAAAGGTGTGTTGTTTGAATGAACCTGTGAAAAAAATATTGAAAAATAGATCGTTTAAGGCTCGTCCTGCTGTGTTACTATTGGTAGGTTTGGGCAACGTTTCTCACAACAATGTTATTTTTTTACACTGTGGTGATGAGTTTTTTAATGGTTTTCCCCTGAGGTTTTCACCATCACCTGGCCTGAGAAGATCCTGCCCGGCACAGCCGTAGAGATTGTGCAAACTATGGCGGCTGATTCCAAGGCATGGGCTCACACCCTCAAGTGCAACCATGTTGTTCCTTGCTTTGAAATTGTTTTCCCTGTTGGGCTGGAAAGCTTTTGGGACCTGCAGCTGAGTGTTTCCACAGTAGGCATGGGGCTGGCATTTCTTCAGTGGTCTTTAAATCTCTGAGGTGACTCTTCATGTGCTGAACTTTGCTGCTCCACCTCTTGTGAAGAACGATGTGCTGACAGCAGCAACAAAAATCACTGGCCACCACTTCATGGCATCACCGAAGGACACGATCGGAATCTTGCTGTCTCCAATCTTTTCCCACAAGCCGGGCACACTCTTCATGGATGAGCACATGGTTTTGAAAGCACTGCATTTGGACAGTGTGTTGGTGGATATGAACGTGCAGCTGTGCTTCGACCCCAAAAGCAAGTCTGATACTTTTTTGTGGATTCAGAGCTAGCTTTTGGTTTACATGTTGTTCTTGTTTATGTGTTTTTTGTGTTTTGATTTTAGATATGATGTGTGTGTGCCTGTCACACTCAAAGTTCTTTGTTGGGTTCATGGGTCCCTTAGTGCATGTATGACACTTTGATATTTTCAATAGGGGGGATACTTCTGATTAAGGACCAGAGAGACCAACGGCCACTTACATACCCATGTCGCCTGCTCTCCGCAATGATGGACAAGAATGACAAGATGAATGAATGGGTGTGGCGAAACTGTGCCCTTGCTAAGAACGGGAGAAACCTTGATGAACCTGCTCAGCTGTCACAGAAGGATTGACATTCTGTTTCCAAAGTGTTCAAAAATGGACCCAATTTTCCAATTCTTCGATCAAAGGATAAACCTTGTAACCCTGCAGGACCTGATCCAGATTGAGGAAGCTGACAAGCTCCCGCTTTCAAATGTTGATGACCGAGTGCGTGGTGGAACAAAGTATGCGCAGGTTGGAAAAGATGCGGCCCTTTCGTTGTTGAAGAGCATGACTGATTCTTAGCTTACCGTGTTTCATTTTTTCCACGTTTCTTCCCCTGAATGTTGCCGGAAGAAGATTCGGTGTTGATTGGTTTCCACTGGACAGTTTTTAAGGAAGGAGTGACCTGGTCCTCAGCGACCTGCCTGTACATCATTGACTACGTCCCCGTGGTTGGTGATTTCGCACATGCGGCTTTGATGCTCAGTTCTTCCTTGAATATCCCTGTGCGATATGCAGCACTGCTTGATTCTTCCCATGAGGAATGGCTTTCCGACAGCTTGATGCAGAGTTTGACTGACCAGCTCTTGGCAGGACAAGTACAACCCCCGAATGGCATCACCATTCCAGCGGCAGATCCACCTCCTGAGCACATGGACCAAAAACCTGACCCACCCCAAATGAAGAAGATGACTTTCATCAAGGTACCAAACGGTCATTCAAACGATGTTTGGGGTATGGAATATTGGGTTGAATATAGTTCTACATTTACCATGTTCCTGTTGTATGTTTTCGTATGCTTTCATCCTTGCCCTCCCAGGTGGATGGTGAAGTTGCTGGAATCCAGGTTCCCGATCAGGTTCAAAAACAGTGGCATTCCAACCCAGTTCATGGCACCGAATTCCGGGCTTGGATGGAAACGTTCAATGAGGAATTTCCCAAACCAGAAAAAAGGGGGCCAAACGAAATGCGTCGGCAGCGGCAGGAACCACCAATACCCCCAACAAAGTGCAGAAAGTTGGGGCAAAACCAATTGACATGTCGATGTTTGGGCCACTGCTTCGGGAGAAGGGGAAGGAGCCTGAGGAAACAGTGTTGCAAAGGGTCAACCTCCTCAACCTTTCCAACATTGATCTTGTCATCCAGACTGGGGCCATCTTTGTGACCAATGTTGGTGAACAGAAAGTTTCTTGATATCAAAAATTGCTACGGTTCCCCAAAAAAAACACCAAATTTTACCCCAAATTCTATGTCAGCTTATGAATATATATATATATGTACATATATATATAGGATTTGGGATATATAGCTGAATTCATTTCCACAATCTGTTCTGTTTAGATTGTGAGCAGTTTCATCCCATGGTCCTTTAGGGTGATGTGTACTGTAATGATAGCACCTATCTGATTTCCAAGGTGTGCATTCCAGAGGGTACCAGCATTTGCGGGTTCGGCCGGGGCAATTTTCGATTTGGTGGTGAGCAGACGGCTGCTCAAGACCATGAGATTCACTACTTGATCAAGTCAGCAGACCAAATTGTGATCATGGATGGGCGCGCGCATTACCTTGGTGACCTTTTGGAGGCCCAGCGGTTGAAAGCCCCCGATAAGCCAGGTCTTCAGTACTACGAGGCGACACTGGAGAAGGTAGAGCAGAAGTGGGAATTGAAAAAGGCTGGGCATGCAATGTAAAAAAACATGTCTGAAATTGGAATTTAGAAATAAATATTTCCTGAAATCTCCAGAAGGCTAGCTTGACCTTAGGGTTTATGTTGAATAAGTATGGGTTTGAGTTTGGCCCTTCAGTTTGGCACTTCCTTAAAGACATGTCCCCAGAGGTGAAAGACTTGCTGTTCACACCGCGCATGGATGAGGACAAGAATAACCAAACCACGTGCGCAAAGAATGCCAGTCCAGTGTTGAAGTGGGAGAGTGAATGGACAGGGATTGCATGGCATGTCAAACAGACATCCCAGGGATTGCAGCCCCAAAGACCAGTTGTTGTTGCTACCCAGGGTGTTGAGATTGATGTCGGTCAGTCACTTTTGGTAGACACCCTGCGATAGTTTCACTGTTTCATGCTACTGCCAGGGTATCCCAGCACTCAGGTTGGATTTTGAACCATTAAATTTATATCTCGGGGTACCCCCACTTTCAATTAATTGTCTTGGTCCCAACATGTTGTGAGTGGCTGGCGGAAGAAACGGTAGCGGCAGAAAGGTGGCCAATGATGTTACAGGTTCCAAACCAAACTGCTGGAACGCTGTCCATGGCCACAGTGCGGGTGGGCAGGAATGAAAACAAATAGCATTCATACTCTTGCTATTGTGTATGCTTCCGTGTGCTCACCCGGCGCGTTTGTCAAACACAAAATTCCACAGCCTTTGGGGCATTGGGAAAACATGCTGGTTACACCAAATTGCGTGATCAATTGCAGGCCTTACAAATCTTGGTGAGCCAATTCCCCTTATTATTGCCTACTTATCATTTGACGTAAAAGCGAATGTATTTGGGATGCACATTTGATATCAATGGAATTGGACTACTTATATATTTTTTGGGGTTCACCCAGACCTGCCCATGTGACCCAGGCCCTGCAGCCAAATGGCCATGTGACGAGCCTGGGACTTTGGGTTCCTGAGGCGGTGGGGGTGCCAGACTCTGCTGGTGTGGCTTAAAAATTGAAACATTTGTGGGAGTTTATGAGCTATTTCTTTGCCCCATTCTCCATTATATTTAAGAAATAAAAGTATACATCATCCATATCATAGCGCCTCAACTTGACACAAGCCATCGCATTGCTACTATGTCGAATTGTTTTGCGTCAATATATCACTGTAATGAAACACTGGTTTGGTTTGATTGAACATAATTTGTCAGATGATCAGTTGAAGTAAGAAGCTACTAAAAAATCATTGTTATATTTTTTTTGGTTGGGGAATAAAAAGGCCCACACACCACAGTCTAATACCCAGCTCTGACATTGCAAAGGAAACCCAACTAACCATTTTGAATGCTAAGGTTTACATGGGATCTTCAGCTAGGAAAGCACAGGGAAAATCATCTATTGAAACTAGCTTGAGCTGCCCTGAAAAAAGACACCATTTGGGGTTTAGAAATTAGCTTGGGTTCCTAACAATAAATATCCTCCAATCCAACCAGCGGAGCTGACCCTGCCTTCCGTCAGGCCCCTTGTATGATCATCCGTGTTGCGTTTCCCGAGCCAATAGTAGGTGCAAAATGCATTTCCACAAATGGGAAGTTTAGGCAGTTGTTTTTATAAGGATGTTTACTTTCACAGTGGGTTTGCCTGTTCATTTTTGTCAAAGCAAATCCCCATTTGAAAGAACTAGTGTTGGGTATATCCCATTTTCTCACATACCAGCAAGACACTCCAAAATTCAAACCTTTTGGTGGTGATTGGAAACTCCTAAACCTGTACTGTGTGCAGGTGGAAACCAACTGCTGTGCTGTCAAGCCCCACTCTAGCTCCCAACTGGTTTGAGCGTGGCTCCCACATGGTTGAGCGGAGTGGGGCAAATACTACGGGGGATGAGGACTGTATTGGTGAGGGATGGGGGAAAGAAACTGGAAGGTCAAAGTGGGAGCTTTCATAGGCCATAGGTGGTTGAGCTCCTGCGGGGACAGTGGCTTGGGACGTCTGGCAGGTAAGAGCCACCCAGCACCTCCCATACCCCTAGGAGAAATTTGGTTTGGGACATCCCAATTTATTGTCATCATTGTCATTGGCTCTTCATCATCAGTCTTCGTTTGATTATATTTTACCCACCCCTATCATGGCTATCAACTTCCCTCTGAGAGAGGGCAGGAAGAAGGACGAGGTGCACCTTGCACAAGGAGTGGCCAGAATACAAGGCCTTCAAGGCGTGCTTTCCGCGATCTGAAGAGCAGCCTATGACGCCGGACTTGCGGGCGACTTATCTGGCCAGGGAAACGGCGGCACACAGTGGCTTGAGACACGGTTGGTCGTGCTCCCGCGTTTCCAAGGCATTGGACTTGGGACGAAGTTGCCTGAGCTCGTGGCGGCCCAGCGTGGCGCGTATGGCTTGTGTCTTATGTCCAAGACCAAGCACTCCCATGAGGGTTGCCAGTTTGCAAAGCTGATCTTGGGCTAGTTTGGCCACACTTGGCACAATGGAGTTGCTCTGTGGAGCAGCCCGGCTGCATGCATCTTGGCAGCTGCAGCCATGTGAGAATGCGGAGCTGGCGGCCGTCCCGAGGGTGTGAAGAAAAGGTGAGCAAGGACAGATTTTCGAGACTGTGGAGCTGGAGGCCATCCCAGGAATGTCACAAAGGTGAGCAAGGACTCTAATAGAATATATAGCAGTATCTTAATTAACATTTGAAGGCAACAATATAACCCCTGATGATTGTTTTTTACCTATGCCTAAACCAGAACAATTTTCCGATAATGGAACCTATCTTCACATGGGCTGCCAGTGTTTTATAGCTCAGCTGAAGGGGTCTGAGCTTGGTTAATCCATGTCAATGATAATAGCCAAGGGAATTTGATATGTAATCATCCGTGTGGTTGGGCCTTGGAAAGCTAATATCTAAATTTACCATTGTTAAAAAGATAGTTCTGGGACAAAATAACTAACTTAATAATTTGAATTCCCCACCTGCCAGGTGAGGGTTCTTAGATTTTATCACGGCTGTTCCGGCTCCTCCTCCTCCACCTCTTCCTCCTCCTTCTCCTCCACCTCCTCCTCGTCCTCCTCCTTCTCCTCCACCACCTCTGCCTCCACTTCCATGTCCACTTCCGCCTCGCCAACTCTTCGCCAATCTCTTCGCCGACTTCCGCGCGCAGTGGGCACTGCTGGACCTCAACTGCCGGCTTCCGATCTGAGTGGGCACGGCTGGACTTCAACCGCAAGGTTCTGAGCGCAGTGGGCACCATTGAATTGGACTTCAACCAGGGACCTTCCGAGCCCAGTTGGCACCGCTGGACCTCAACCTAGGGCCTTCGGAGCCCAGTGGGCACGGCTGGACCTCAACCTGGGACCTTCCGAGCTCAGTGGGCACCGCCAGATAGAATGCCAGAATATATGCCAGAAAGACTGCCAGAATATATGCCAATAGATTGCCAGAATATATGCCACATAGAATGCCACAGGGAATGCTAAAATATATGGTAGAAAGAATGCCACATAGAATGCCAAAATATATACCAGATAGAACGCCAAAATATATACTAGATAAAATGCTGGAAGATATGCCAGATAGAATATCAGAATAGATGTCAGGTAGAACGTTAGGTAAAATGTCAAAATATATGTCAGGATATATGACTTGAAATGCCAGGGTGGGGATCACTCGGAGTAAAGTAATTTTAGATATCACTGCTTAATGCTTCTTCCCTGTAATTCTGATTGAAAGGTCCAGAAAAGGATCTTTGCGGATTTGAAAATTGCAGATGGATATTTATCGTATGAAATCTGCCTGATTTTGCTTCAAGGCTTGTAATTGTATACACATTAACGCTATAGTATTGGAATCTAGGGTTCTTTGTCACAGAGACAGATATAAAATTCAAATCTAAGCGGAAAACAGAAACGTAACATCCGTTATATAAAAATCCTGGTAGTGAACCTGCACATATTTAGTACCAGTATTAACATCACCATGAATGGGGAATAGTTAATGAAAAAATTGTCCTTTGTAGATTCCAGCAACCCGGGGTAATATTTTGATGGTAGACAGCACACCGGGCCCATCCGCCAAAATCCCAGCCGACTGGCAGGAACTGCTCACTGGTTGTGGTGGCCACCGGCCACCACCCACCGGGTGGTGGTGTGGGGTTGAAGGTTCTGTTGGATAATGGATATGATATAAACATAGAAATAATGGGGAAAATTAGTCCTTCAGTAAAGGAATGACCATCAGGGATAATATTTGTGGTTTTATATCAAAGGTATATGGGGATACCACCGTGGTTGAAATGAATAGATATAGTGATATAGTACATACCCTATAAAGGGATGGCACCCATTCCATTTTAATCCAGCAATTGGTCGGGCATCCTATAAGGGAAGTGGTAGTGGACCCCTGCTTATCCAAAGAATAGGATAGAAAAAAATAACTATAACCGATACTGGGATGATACCAATTTAATCAACCTATTGGTTGCCTAAGATTGAAAATA